AAAAAAGATAACACTTATGTTCGCTAGAAGATATATTACGAATTTGGTAGCGAGTTATCAGAGATTTAAAAGCCCTAGATTTGAATTATTTTTCAAGCCTAAGAGCCTAAGTCTAAATTATTTTTCCAATTTTAAAGTCAAAATTTGAATTTTTAAAAAGTTAATTTCAAATTCTTTTTCAAGCTTCAGAGCCTAAATTTGAATATAAACAGCTGAAATTTAAATTATTTTTCAAGCACAAAAGCATAGATTTGAATTTTAAAAGCCCAAATTATAATTATTTTTCAAGTTCACATGATCCACATTTTTAATCATTTTGTAAGTTCAAAAAGTCCAAATATTTTAGTTATTAGCAAGTCCAAGTAGCCCAAAATTTTTAAACCTCCCGGCATCCACATCCGAATAAGGGGCATTCGAGAGATTGTCAAGACGCCCAATTTTCTTAAAAGACTCACTAATCATAGTCGTTAGATACTACAGTCGAGAGACAAAAGGTTTTTTTAACCCAACGGTCTAAGGCACTCACCGGACCTTCAATTTACTTGCAAAAAGTCAAGCATGAGCATGCATTTCCCAAATAGGTACTTAACTTTCCTTGAACGATACTTAATTCTCTAACAAATACTCGAGTTTCCCAGGGTGAGTACTTAAATTCCTTGCAATTTTATAAGAAAAAAATTCCCCGAACGAATACTCAATTTTCCCCGAACGCTGCTTAATTTCCTCGATAGGTACTCAAATTTCTTCACATAGGTAAAATTTCCCTTGACCCTTTTTATACTTTTTAAGTGAAACAACGGTATTGATGATGGCGATCGACGTTGACAACGGTGATGGAACATCAAAATGAAAATACAACACTTTTCTAATTATTTTTTAAATATATGCCCTAAATAATAAAATGGGGAAGAACGGGTTTTGGGTTGGGTCAAGCAAAATAGTGAAGAGGTGCGGTTTCCGTGGTTGTTTGGATCGAAGCAAACAATGAAAGGGGAAGTGCTTATGTTGAAACAAAAAGACAAATTGTTTTCGGTTAAAGCAAGTAGAAATGGAGCAACATAATAGATATATGTGGCTTCCGAAGGTATTTGTATGGTGTGCTCCCGTTGTGTGATGCAAAGCCGAGGAAGGACAAGCAGGATGAGCGAAACAGGGAAGAAGGGTTTCTTTCTAGAGTAAAGGGCTTCAATTGTATGCCATAAAAATGAGGTAGAGAGGTAGATGAAAGGGCGAACTGAGATTTGGAATTCCAAAGGCCTTCACGTGTCGCAATCCCGTTATTTCCTTTCTAGCGAAGGGATGTAGTCTTCTGCGACTTCTAAGTCACACAAACATGGGTTTAGATAACAAGAAGGTTGCGATTGAAAGGAGCAGAGCTTTAACTCCTTTCTGTGTTATAAGGAAGAACATGAAGTTTCAAAGGTCTTCGTACGTTATGATCTCGTCGTTGCTTTTTCGCTGGCCCTAGTCACGACCATATCGCTCAAACAAGGAAAGCAAGGACATTGAATGCGTGTAAATCATTTTAGGGCTTGCAAACTTGGAGAGAAAGACGAGGGCTTAACAGGGTTTTCGCCCAAGAATTCTGTCGTGTTGGTTTAGGAGCAATCACGAATAGGTTCGAATAAGAAGCCATAATGAAGAGGAGTGTGGTAGTAGTTATCGACATCCTAGGGAGGGGCAGTCATTAGGATTTACTTTATTTCAATTTCTTTTATTTAATTTTTACGGTCAATAGGGATGATGTATCCTCAGAAACAGGTGATGGACCTCCTCATCATCTGTACTTATCCGTTTCTGGCTATATCCTCTATCTTAAGCCGGGACACCTATCGAAAGCTGCTTATGTCCTTCCAAACACTATAGAACTTGTGCATTAACATTCCCTTGCTATTTTACAGTCATCTCCTTGCTACCACGTCCTAAACACCTTAAAGGAGCTCCATCATGGTGTCATTTGATATCACAGCCCAACAAAACCTAAATGTTTAGGAATTTGTATTCCTTGCTGAAAAAAAAAACAAATCCATATAAACTAACACTAGTAGCAAGCACACCACCCCAAAAAAAAACCCACTATGTTCTAGCACATTCCTACAGCAATTTCGAGCCGTAAACCTAAATGTTTAAAAGCCAATCTTCCTACCTCAACCAAAATCCACTCTAAAAACTACAACTAAATTTTATGCCCTCAACCAACTATTGATCTACAACCCTATGCTTTTTTAAACCCTAGTAGGGAGAAAATGACACAGTACCGCCTAACAGAAACATTCATAGAGGTGTCCAAAAACATACTATAAGAGATATGCAGTTAGTAATCTTCCAACTGCAACAAGAACTTATCTTATTAAAGAGAAGGCAATAGAGATGTCACCCATAAACACAACAATGATTTATCATATCAAGAAAAGGAAATGAATCTCTTCCATCGAAAAATTTTCAATGATGAAAAATCAATACCGAGACGAATTGGCATAAAATATCGAAGAAGTTAGGAATTTTGAGTGAAGTTTGACTATAGGATGATCGAATGGATCCAAAAAAATTCATCAAGTGACTCCAAATATTAGAACCGGTATTTGAGTACAACGACATTTCACCTTACAAAAAAGTCAAGTTAGCCGCTATTAAGTTAAGGAAGAATTCTTCCATATAACGGGAGAACTTGAAAAGCCTACAACATGATGAAGGAAAAGGTAAAATCACCGTATGGGCTAAAGATAAAAAGAGAGATGCAGTGCAAATACTTTCCTTTACATTACCAATAGGATATGTTTATAAAACTTCATAACCTGTTCTAGAGAGATTCTTTTTGAAGAAATACACAGTTGAATTTGATTATGTTGAAATATGTATTGGTGGAACAAAAGTAGCACAACCTACCCAGAGATTCTTCTGTGGAGAAGTACACAGTTGAATTTAATTATGCTGAAATATGAGTAGGTGGAATAAGAGGAGCAAACATTAGCAAGTTATTTTAGAGGATTGGAGTCATTTATGAGTACTGAGGTGCATCTATAACCATAGTAATCCCTACTTAATGTACATACCCTAACCTTAAAGGTAGAGAAATAACGTCATCAGATGACAAATATACCTTACAGGCAGAGCTCAACCCAGTATCAAGCAACAACAGAACACCCAAAGGAACACCCAAGCTAAACCCTCTCGTGAAAACTAATTCATAGTGGAGAAAATGTGAAAACCACCCAAACTCCCAAATCCATCACGGACAAAAAATGCTTCAAAACGCCATAGTTTTGGACCCAATAAGAAGAGTAACATCTTTCATTAAGCAGTAGAAAACATAGATAGTGACACAGGAGATACTGGAGAATATGAGGAAATAAATGAGTAAAGAAATGCTAGTAGTTCGTCGAGTCCATGAGATTGAGCCTATGAGAGAGCAATAGTGGCTTTATCACAACATATTTTGCATTCATTGCACTGTAAAGAAAAAAGCGTACAACCACAATATAGATGGAGGTTGTTCTGAAAATTTAACATCTAGGCAAATGGTGGATAAATTAAGCCTCACAACTCAAAAGCATTATCATATATTCTCTGACTTTATTGAAAAAATTAAGATCAGCATTGACAAAATGTCTTATTGAGTTTTCTATTGGAAATAAACTCCAAGCGCAAATGTAGAGTGACGTAAAACCTATGGATGTTCATTATATTCTATTAAATCATCCTTAATAGTACAACCATTGCATACATCACGATGGCTACAGGAATACATTATTAGACCCAAGATGGGAAACCAATTGTACATTTCTTGGAAAGAACTTGAGGTAATGGGCATTCGTACATTGTTTGAAGATGTTGTGCCACATTGTGTCACAAGCTATCTTTTTCCAAGTCTTGAGAGGAGCATCAGCAGGCCTAGCTTGATTTTTTCAAAGAAGGAAATGAATTCAAGGAGTCAATACCAAATACATAGTAGCCCCTGCTAAAAGATTTTCAAGATTTTTTGGGATTTACAGCCGATCTCGTAGGTTACCATTGTTGAAGGAGATCCAACATATCATCACTTCATAAAGAGAAGAAAATTTTGAGCTATTTCTGAAATGCTATAGGGAGTGAGTTGGGTATTAAGCTATCATTCAATTCATCAGTATATTCTCAAACAAAGGGCCTGATAGAAGAGGGGAATAGCTTGTTCTGTAAAATAAAATGCCCGAAAATGCAATCAAAGGCCTTTCAGAGAAAAAGAAAAAACATCTCCTAGCTGAGGAGAATGACTCTCCCCCAATCACACGTGTGCGGGAGAATCCCTGATTGCACAATTTCACGAGATGGCAGGAAGTCCCGGGATTGTGAGAGGATCGAACAATCAAGCGTCTACCCGGTTACAAATTCAATACTTTTTTCTTTATGATTTTTCTTCGTATTTAATTATTTTTAATTAGGGATATTTGTTGTTAAAAAGCTATATATGACATATTTTTGTTGTTTTGAGATATTAGCTTGATTTTATGTATTTTGAGAGTTTATTCTCTGATTTTCTACTCTCTAAAGTATTGTATCCTCCTATTGCAAGTGGTGTATCATTAGCTTACCAAAAAACATGTGGTGCATCCTCATCGTCATCCGTACCACAACGTTCGTGGTTCTATAGTTGTTTTCAGTCAGGACAGCCGCCAAACACCGCTTATCTCCTTCAAAATGTTCTTGAACTTGCATATTATCATTTCCTTCCACTTTCACAACCATCTCACCGCTAGATCCACTTTTTAAACAACTTCTAGAAGCCCAAGAATAATGTCATTTGCTATCCATTTTTAGACAAAATGAAGAATAGCATAGTAAAACAAAATCAACATTTTAATGGAAACAGCTAATCAGTTCTAAATTGTTGTCAATCCACAGATTTCAACAATTAACAATGCAGGATCTTATAGAAAAATTAATAGATTTAACAAAAGCTTACAACATGCATATGTGAAGTTATCTTCGGATTAAAAGGATCACAAAAAAGTCGAAGTACACACCATCACAATTGCAGCAGCTCACAGCCTCCCTAAAAAATACGAAGAAAAAAAAAAAGTGAGATTAGCTAAGAAAATTCTTAATCAAAAGAAGACCACTTGCAAGATATATTCAAATTCATTGAATGCATCAAGAAATATCAACAATCTAAGATCAATCTCATAATCATGATCATGGATTATTAGCATGCCGGGAAGGTAAAAAAGGTAGCCATAAAAACCACTTGGCTTTGCTAAATGAGCATGGCCAACAACAATATGCTTGAAGGATTTATTTCATCTCATCTCCGCAGAGATGACAAAAGGTAATCTAGCTATCACCAAGATGTTAAAGAATTCATAGCAAATATCTAAATCCATACTAACTGATTTAATAGAATAAAAATTTAGCAGATGGAATCTGCAATCACTCACAACAGTGGAAACATAAGCTTGTGAAGGCTTTCAAACAATTGAACACTGAAGATCATGGAATTAAATCAAAGATGTGGAATCCATTTCATGTTTCTCTTGTCAGAATCCAGCCACTCGTATGAATCAAGTCTAATAGAAAACTTGAGTAGCCTAAAAAATCAATGAATGTTGAGCATGAAGGGATGGAACTCGTAGTAATGGAAATGACTTTGAAGGTATGTCGTAGAATTCAATTATTCGTATGACTTGAATCTTACAGAACATGCTTGTAGGCTCATAGCCTACCCAAATCAATGAAAGTTGAGCACAAATAGATGGGGCTGGTAGATGAGGGATGTAGTAATGTATCATTTTCTATGGACATAAATTTTAACAACTCACGTAAATTGAAAAAAAGATAGCAAGATTCATAAGTTTAGATTAACGTAGTAGTTTCATGACTTCAAAAAATCAATGGAAGGTACTGAACGAAGTCTTTTGCATCAAAAAAATTAGGATTAATTTAAGTTGAACAGTCATGCTTCAGAAAATTAGTCCAAGCCATGCTACCAATGCAACGCCTTAAATCATACCTGACTAGAACATCCTTGTTGCAGTGACCACAGCAATGCTTTTCCGAGTCCCTCAACCTTGAAAATAGGTAGGAAAGTCCTTTAGAATTTTTGGTTTTCTTCGTTGTAAAGATGCTTTTCTTTTCACACAAGTGTCCAGAATCTTTTTTCTTGGCTAAGCGAGATAACTTCTTCTCCTCAAAAGCACTAACTAAATTCAGGGGAACATGAGTTTCACTCAACCAAAATCTTTTCCGCTTATCAGAGCATTCTTCAAATAATACCCCATACTTTGTAACAGTAGCGGGAATTGTCTCCCTCTTGCCAAAATCAAGTAGATATCTTACTTCTGCTCCCTCAACACACTTCCTCCGTACTAATACATGCCTAAATAGCTTTTCTATTTTTTTAACCTCTTTTGTGCAGTGAGGAAAATTTTGATTGCTTAAAATTTCTGTCCATTTTATGTTTGAGTCCAAATCTTTTACCTGAAAGGATGTTCAAGGCTAAAACTATGACAAAAGTCTCACCTATGGTTTTTTAATCCATTGGCATAAAATAAAAGTCAAATCTACCTGATATAGAAGTCGAGCAATAGTGTTAGACATCTCGACAGAAACTCGCCATGAAATGTTTTTGCTTCTCTTTGCAAACTCTGAAACATCTTGGTAAAATAAGTTTGGAATCTTCTTATTCCCACCTGCATGTTTCAAGAAAAATAATATTCTATGGAGCGGTTTAGATAATTACAGGGGATGTCATATCCAGAATGGAAAAGAGATAACAAAAGAGAAGCTAAGAAATACAGACCTTGACGACTGCATTTGGAAGCCAATGATCGAGGAAGCATCTTCCAGCAAAACAACTGCCGCGACAATTTCCCACCCCTCCACCAATGAAAGCCTGAACAAGAAGCAAAACCACGCTAAACACCATTATCAAAATTATTTCGATGTTTCATTGAATTTAGATGCATGGACTGCACCTGTCAATTTAAAAGAAGCAGAACCAACAGTCTGGTCAGAATCTACTGGTTTCAGCCATTCAGCTAAGAGTGCAACACGTCTCAAATTGGATTCTAACTGCAGAAAAGTAGAATCAATAATAGTATTCCAGGTGAATGGTTTGAAAGCAATATGAAAAACTTATAAATCATTCATAAACTACAACATATAGGCCTAAGAAAATAAAATAACCAGTATACACTTACAGAAAGAAGCAGGAACTTCAAGGAAGCAACATCATGGGCTTCAAAGACAGCCCTACGCCACCATTCACTATAATTTAGCTTCTCCCATGGACCTGAAAGGAGGCTACGGACACGGTCCTCAATCGATAAAATATGGTTCATTGCAAAAACTATGTGGTCTTTCTTATTTTTTCCAGAGCCCACACCTGTATGGTTAGAGGAATCTGCTTGGTTGAACTTAATGCCCTCTAAATGTTTCTCATTAACAACCTTGAGTAAGCATTCAATATCAATTGATCTTCTACAAGCAAAGCACCAACCACAATCCTCCTTTCGTATTGACACCATTAGATTATAATAATTATACCAACTCCATTGTGTGAATTTCTTATAAATTGTTTTCAGCTGATCTGATTTTATAACTTCATCAGGTTTCAAAGAATCTTTACTGATAATCTCTGAAGATTTGGATAATAACTCTTCAGCCATGTCTGCAGCAACCTGACCAAAACTATAATAGTTAACATAACTAAAAAGATCAGGTTGCAGCTGAGAAGCGCCACCTTTCCTCTTCGGAGAAGTAGAATTCCATCCAGGGTTCTGAAAGTTTTCATCCAGACCTCTAGTTTTGACATTTGGTTTTAGTGAAGCATTTCTGGCTTGGTTTATAGTAGGATTGATAGAAAAATCAATACCATTTAGCACATCAGGGTGGTCATAAGAAGTAGCATCCAAATAATCGCCAACTGGTTCAGAAACTGCAGGTACAGTGGGAATTTTCTCAAGTTGGATGGAGGTTACAGAGTTTGGCTGAATTGAATATGAAATATCAAAAATTTTTGAGCCAGCAATCATAGGATCAGTGCTTCCCGCTCCTACCGAAACAAAGTTATCACAAACACGATCTTCCTTTGAAAAAGATAGTGACTTCAACTGGGCTTTCTCTACCCTGATCTCACTCTGATTATGAGCGTCATCTTCACATCGGTCATTGGAGCAACATTCATCAATAGGGATTCCCCAGTATGCAGATATTGCATTTTTTATTTCATCAGAAGGTTCTGATTTCAAGACATTGATGACCGAAATTAAATCAATCTTATTGTAATAATAACATAACGCACTGGAATCACATGGATCAGACCTGCAATTCCACCTGACGTTAAGCCCTACTTCACTACATTATGGCTATCTATAGAATTGATTACAAAAGATAAAAGCGTCAATATTACTACCAACCGTTCAAGAATCAAGCAACAGGAAGGAGGACTATGTAAGGCTTGCTTGGTAATGAGTTCTTTTCTAGAATTACTTAAGCTACTATATCACAATTTTGATCTGAGCATTGTGTACCGGAAATGCTACTCCAGGCACAATGTAGGAGAAGGTCGCAGTCGTAGGGAGAGGACAAAGAACTGTGAGGCAAAGGAAAGCATGAGGGGTATGATGGAGGAGCAGCAAAGTTGCATATATGAGGATTAATAGGATTACAAGCTTGTAAGGGTGCGGGAAGGCAAACGACCGTAGCGAGTGAGAGCAACAAGCAACGGCATCAAAAGTGTGTGTAGTTATTCCGTCCTCTAATGCTCCTTAGTTTCATATATTTGATATTTATATAAAAGTTATACTTTATGGTTATGTGCCTCCTGATAGGTTCAATTTATCACACAACATTATTAATTCTTTAAAGTCCAATTGTTTATCATGCTATTATTAGTGTTTCAAAAAAACCAAGCTCAAGAAATAAAAGAAAGCTATTGAAAGTTCGAAGGAAGAATGCTAAGTAATAACCAGAAAAAATAATAATAATAATAAAATAAAAAAATAAATTTTAAAGGATTGTCTCATTTTAGAAAGGGATAACCATCATGATGATGACAATTTTATATGCAGTAGTCAAACGCCTCATTCGAACCAGAGGATGAGAAATAAGGTGATTGAAAGAGAGTAGAGAGTGAGGAGAAAGAGGAGACGAGGTGGTCGAAGGCAAGATTGTGTCTCATCGCATGCGGTAATGGAGATGGGAAGAAGATGAACCTCGTATGCTCGCGACAGAGAGATCTCTGTCACAAGACAAATTAAATCAAGCAGATGAATGACCTTAGGTTCGAACAACTACGTCGACAAGTTGCGATGTGGGAAAGAGGAAGAAGGCAGACAATTCTTGGTGTGTGGAATTGAACAAACACAAAGATGCAAGGCTCAACAAAGCTTGCACTTGCATCGATTGAGCCGGGTGTTCGATTAGATGAAAATAGGCAATTCTAGGGCTGCATGTGGTCAAACTAGCCAAAACCCTATGCAGCAAAAAGGTAAGGAGGCAGCTTTGTGGGAACTTTATGTGTGAGAAGGAAGAGAGGAACAAGTGCAGTGAGGCGTATCGTATTTTGCTCGCTTGAAGGAGGAGGTCACCTGAGCAGCATCATGTGTGTTACTGTGCAAAGGAAAAGGGAAGAGAAGGGTTTTGTGTGAGCCGGTAAAGAGGGAGCCTTGCGTGTAGAAAACTGAATCCTCCCGTGCGACCTTGGTGTGCAGGAGGTGCGAAACCACTCCACATAAAGGTCAAGATACGTGCTAGACTTGTTTACTAAACTTTTTTCATATATAAATGAATATACATTTACAATGTTAATATGAAATTATATTAATTGAGATCAGGAAGTCTAGCAATAAGGACTTTGGCCTCATTTATGTGCATAAGGGAGGAGTGCATGCGAGTTAGTATATTTGAAGAATTAATTCAAGAAAAACTTTAATTAAGAGTTATTTCAAATTTGATAATTAGATAAATTTAAACTTCTCAATAATTAGATCAAGATATTACATTGCAGTAATTATTTAATAATAAAACAAAAAATTTAGTATATATATATATATATATATATTAGTATCAAATTTCATAAAATGATGTAATTTAAAAATATTTTCGTTATAAATAATGATAAATCATTCAGTTAACCTACAAAAAATGATACTTTTTAATTGATTATAGATACTTTATCACAAAAGCAAAATCATCTGTAAGTAAAGTGAATACTCATGTTCTTATGTTATGGTAATACTTTTGCTTTTTCTATACCAAATACATTTATTGTTGCTTTCACCGGTTATATTGAAATTATGGCAAACTCATAATTTATTATTGTATTGAATTTTTATTCATATTGTAGGAAATATTTATACTCAAAATTGTTTAAATTATCATGAATATTGAATGATAACAAGTATATTAAATGTTATGCAAACAAAAATTAAATAATCATTATTAATAGTGATTTTTATAATTAGATTGCAAATACATGTTTGGTTATGATAGTATTCACCACTTTATAGTACTAACGAGGAACCCTAACGTACCCCTGCATGTAAATAAAAAAAGATATTGATATTGTAATATCTTAACTGTTATAATTTTTAAGCGGTATTATTATGACGACTGTAAATAATGATATAGACATATTGACATAATAACACACCTTGAATATTATGAAATATCGTGGGTGATCATATTCATCAGCTATCAAATATTTTATATTGATTTATTAAAATCTTAATTGACATTCATATTATTTTCTTTTTTTCTGTGTTACTGTTGTCCAGAATTCTGAGTATTCACTGACTTTAGTTAACTCGTTATTTTTTAAATTAACATTTCATGTTAAACTATTTGATTAAAAGATGGATACTAGAAGAGGAAATCTTTATAGAAGCACCGTCAACCTGACTTGAGGTAAATTTTATAAATGATTTAGTTTAATTTTCCTATCTTTTGTGAATATTTCATTTGTTAAATGTTATAAAACTAACTATAAAAAAAATTAATTTCTACCGTCCAGCTGTCTATACCCACCTTGGTTACTTTCAATCCCCGGGTAGGGTCGTGATATTTTATGAGTTTGATAGGTAATGTCCACCAGCCAAAAACTGAAATTTAAAGAGTTATTGAAATTAGGAATTTGCATGTGAATATTAAGACAATCTCTCCCAACAAAGTAATTGCACTCTTTATCTGAGATTACACGAGCAAGTCCATATAGCCCCTAATATTTCTTTACTAATCTCATATTTGGTTCATTAGTATTTAAATTCTTACCTAGCCCTAATAATTAATAGTTTCAAGCAGACAATAATTATGTAAAAGCCATGACAAACCAAGTAAAAGGCTCGTGGAGTGTAAGTTAGAGCTAACATCATACATGGACAATGTAGTCTCTAAAGAGTGTTTAATAATATTGAGGTAAGACTGTGTATGCTAGCTTCGCTAGTTAATGGACTAGAAGAGTGGAGCAGTAGAGTGCAAAAGTGAAAAAAAAATGACAATAGATGTTGAAATGTGGAATGGGTTGATACAGTCAGAATATATCGCCACATAATCACGACTTCTGATATACAAAGAGAAGGAAAAAAGAATAATCCCATTTTAAATAAAAGTTAAAATTAAATTTTTGACATGGCATCAATTGGAAAATAAATGGGATGTTGAGTGGACCTTGGTCAACATCTTATTAAGAATTGAAGCATAAAGCTCATGACGAAGATGAAAACCCTTATGACAATGAATTGAGCCACTCTACAATTAAAATAACATTGAAAAAATAAAAGTAAAAAATGATGGATAAGATGAAAAAGACAAAAAGATCAAAAAAAAATAAATAAACAAAAGCCACAACGGAGAGCCAAATCTCTTATTTGATCACCGATCAAATTCAAGAATAGATGATTATGATGATGATGATGATGAGGCTACATATACAAAATAAAATTTTATTTGTGCAAAAAAAAATAGTGGACATGACCCGAAATCTTCAAATTTATAAATTGAAGAGGAAATTATTACACAAACATGTAAACTACTATCAAATTGCTAATAAATTTAATGATATTTAATATAATAATCTAAATAAAATAATGAAATTGATGGAGGGTGGAGAAGTCATATTCTCTTATTCCCTCAAACCCAAGTTGCAATCTTTCCCCGTTTTATATGGGGGCCAGCTAGGGGGCAGCTAGGGCAATCATAATAAAGGCTATTACAACTTGCCAAATATAAAAACAAAAAAAGAAAAAGTGTACATCATAATAAAAAAAGAATAAAAAAGAATAAAGTTGAATTAGGAATGTCCCTGCAATAGCATCCCCAATTGAACCTATGGGTCTCATATTTCTGACGATCTAGGCCACCTAATAAGGACAAATTTCCTCACTACCTCTCAAGCTCGGTAATTAGATGTTGTAAAGACCCGACTTGATAGTCATGTCATTGAAGTTGCATGGAGGTACAAATTTAACAAAGACATCAGCAACTTGAACATGAGTTTGAATGTAGATTAAGTGTATAATGTTATCATTGAACTTTTTAGAAAAAATATCTAACAATCTCAATATGTTTGGCTATGTAATGCACATGATTTTTTGCAAAAATAATGGTGACTTGGCTGTCACAGAACATTTTTATGGGACTGATTGTGGAGCATCTCAACTCATTTAGTAATTTTGGACTACATTCCTTCACAAATTACTAAAGCAAGTGCTCATAACTCAAATGCTACACTACTAGAGAGCACTGCTTGTTTTTTTTTGCTCCTTCACATGACAAGATTTCTTCATACAAAGAAACAATACCCAAATGTGAATCTTTTGTCCATGAGTTCCCTTGCCCAACTAGAATTAGTGTAAACTTTTACCCCTTTTGTGTAATTTCTTACAAAATAACCCTCTATTAGGGGTCTATTAAGAAATCTCAATATTCTCCAAACCATCCTCAAATATTTTGCATTTGGACTATTCATACGCTGACTCAATGATGACAGAATAAGTGATATCAGGCCTAGTGTACAATAGGTAATTTTTTCCCACCAATCTGTAATATCTACCTTTTTCCATTTGTGATTTTTCTCTCTCTGAATGTAACCTTTTGTTGAAATCCATAAAACACATTCCTCTCTTTTAATAGATCTAGGATGTACTTTCTTTAGGATATCACAATTTCCTTTTTAGACCTGACCAGTTATATGCTGTAAAGTATCTCATAGCTCCTGGATTCTTCATTTTAAAATTAATGGCAAGAACCACCTTAATCTTCCCAATCGTTTTTTTATCATCACATGTCAGGATCATAACATCTTCATAGAAATAACAAAAGCT